AATGTATAAACAAAAAAGAAATTGAATATCGTCAAATTTATCATGAATTTGGTTAAAATGAATGGGAGGAAAGGCTGAATTTCATGCACCTCGAGTCAATTTTGCTCTAAATTGATGGAATTTGCAATATTCATAAATGGCCAATCATAGCAATATTGATTTCATGAAGGTGAAAGAGAGAGGGAGGGAAAGGGGTTAATTGAACCTGAAAGAGTTTTTGGTGTTGATTTGAAGAAAATGAGTTGTGAAAATGAGGGGGAAATGGCTGTTGATGTTTTTGGAGAATTAATGGTGGGGGAACTATGATTAATGATAAAAATCTTATCGAGAAACGAATAGAGAGAAAAGGGTGAAGATTAACAGGTGAAAGGTGACGGGATCAAATCAAATGTGAGGTGAAGGCGAGATTTACGCTGGCGGCAAACATTTCAACCGACTTAACGGAAATAAATAAATAAAATGGTGGTTCGATTGTCAATTATCATTATCATTTTATTGTAGACCGCTTATTTTTCATAAATAATGATGTTAGGCTGTCTAATACATAGATATCTAAAGCTTTTAGTGAAAAAATGTAAATTTATGATATGCAATATTATATTTTAAAGTACACTATTGAATTTGTAAAATTATATATATTTGTTAAAAAAAAATGTATGGATGACTAATTATTATAAAGTTTAATTTTTTCGTTAGATTTCTTAAAGGAGGTCATCTCGTGTAATTAGAATGCACGTCATTCCAGGTAATGAGCAATAATAAAAATAGATTAAGACGAACAGAATTCGCTTAACCACATAAAATAATAATTCTAAAGATATTGTTCGATTAATTAACATCGGATAAGATTAAATTAAAAGAATATAAAACACAAGAAAGCTTCGTCCGACTTGATGGAATTTTAATTTCTTTGATGGAGTTATATCCAAGTCAGAAATTAAAGGGGGTAAGTCGAAGTTGTATGCACTTTAGTGTACTCTTTTTAGTTTTTAGTTATTATTTTGTTTGATGTTTGAAAAAAAAAAAAAAATCTTTTATTAGGTCGGTAATTAGGTGGACATACTTTTATGAGATTGGGAAATTTACGCTAACACAAAATAGTTACTAGTGTAATTTCCAATTCTATTTTGCCCGTGGAATTATACTAACATTACGAGGTCAACCATATTAAAGGAAACAAAATATGAAGAGTCGTGGAAGTTAAAAAAACTCTCCACTTTCACTTGTTTATCCGTTATAAATAAAAATTAAAAATAAAAAACTCTCTTTATTAGAAAACAAATTACAGAAACAAAAGAGTTCCTCTTAATCCAAAGGCAACCTTTTCAGATTTTACATTAAAGTTGAGAACAAATTTCTCCAAACCATTGTCAGTTGCCACATGTTCGACTTTTTGCCTCAACGGACTGTTTTTTTTTTTTTTACTCAAACATCAAATTTCATTAACATAGAAACTCATAATGTACAAAACACTTAACCAAATGGTTATACATCTAGAACCCCAAACATAGGCTTGGAACCCGAGAAGGCACGAGAAGTAAAACATAACTCCCCTACAAAGACCACATGGCCATGACAACAGCAAAAACAGAAACACAGGAGCACAGACACATTTACATATCAAAATCATTCACAAACAGACAAGTGTGGACATTTGCTAGCAGCTGAAATATATCTTGGAGCACAGTGGACAATGCAGCATCAAAGATAATCCTTTCATTCAACCATCTTCTGAGTGTAGGGTTGTGCACTTTAATGTGCACCTGCTGACACTTCCATTCTTTGCTCTCCAACAGCCACTTCCTGATTTGAAGCAATTCTGATTCCACTGAACAGCTAGAGTTGTCCCTAGAATCATACCATTCTCTTATCACCACACTATTTGCCCAAGTCCTCCCTTTGACAGCTCTCCCTGCACCTGAATCTTCATTAGCACTGAGTACAGTTGCCTGCACCCCTACTCCTTGATCTGATCCGGAATGAGCAGTGAAGTTACCATCAGCATGAACACTCTTTTTACCTTGAAGCCCTGCTTGTGCATCTTCATATTCCAACCATTCCTTCAGAGCATTTTGGACCACCCACCTTTCATCACAGGGATCCTTACTGAAGAGCCAGTTGTTTCTGGTCTTCCATAGCCACCACATTATGTAGGTTGACAGAGTTGTCCTGTCTTGACCATTATCAACCTTTTTCAAATGGCAAACATCCCCCCACCAGGTTTTGAAGTTCACTGACTCAGTCTGAAACTGCTCCCAATAAAGCCCTGCAAGCTTCCATACTGTCCTTGCCCTATCACACACAAACAACATATGTTCAAGAGTCTCTCCCTTGTCTCCACACCAGCAACATACTCCATCCACCATCACCCCTTTCTTCCTCAATTTGTCAGAAGTGCTCACACAGCCAAAATAGCACCTCCAAATAAAGTTCTTTATCTTTGGTTTAATTGGTAGGCCCCAAGTAACCTTCCAGACTTTTTCTTGAACTTTGTTCCCTGTGCTTGTCTCTTCTGAACCCATCTCTACCTTCTTCTGCCTCTGAATAGCCTCATAAGCACTCTTGACTGTGAAAGTGCCTTTCTTGTGAGGAAGCCAGATCATTGTGTCCTGTCTTCCCAACTTGCTGATATGAAGCTTGAGAATTTTATCTGCATCCTGGGGTGTGAAAGTTTGCAGTACCAGCTCCTTGTCCCATTCACTTTTTCCTGAAATCATTAAGTCAGCCACCTTGCTTAATCTTGATATATCATCAGGGAAACAGCAATTAGGCATAAACTTTGTAGCTTGTGGAATCCAAGGTGCCTTCCAAATATCTATTGACTGACCATTACCCACCAAAAAGCAGGCACCCAAGTTCAGAGACCCCCTACACTCTAACCACCCCTTCCACATCCAAGAATCACAATCCTTCTTACTAACCTCCCAGAAGTTTTTTTTATGCAAATATCTACCCCTCATGACTTGACTCATTAAAGTATTAGACTCATTAAGCATTCTCCACACCTGCTTAAGAAGAAGGGCCTCATTAAGATCTCTGTTTATCATCGGGAATATCGGATTTAGAAAATAAATTATGAAAAAAAAAATTAAATAAGAAAGAATTACCAATCTCGCCTCATATTAGGATGTTTTAGAAGACCCTTATGAATCCACAGCTCAAACTCTTCCGCATGAACTATTTTTTCATCATCCTCCTCCAAAAACGAGTCCAACGGACATGACCCGTGAATTCTATGTTTCACAATTTTCTTCAGTTTCTCCTTGTTATTCAAATTATTTTAACTATGAGCATCCAACACATACATAGAAGTGTCTAAAAACCATTACCCTCGAACCACTTCTGTACAAGACTAATGCGATACCCCTGCGATGCACGGGCTAGTTTTATTAAGGTAAACATTTAGATTTGGATGATTGAATGATTGGATAAACGTAAAACAAATGTATTGAAATAAAACAAAATGTAATTTCTATATTATTAACACATCTTTGTACACAACTTTATTTGTTTTATTTGTTTGGTCTTTTGGTACATCGTCTATCGCCACAAATTATATTAGGATTCTAGATAAGCTTAAATAAATCATTAAATTATATAGCAAGATATATATGATATGCTTCATAATGTTTTTATCAAAATTGCATAGCCAAATATAACGGACATTGTAAAATGTCTTTCTTGATAATCTATAGCCTTATTATTCTAAAATTGTAAATTACGTAATTTAAGAAAGGGAAAATTAATTGTGTAAGTGTATGCAATCAATTTCAAATTTGTATTCTAGAGGATTAAACAAAATCTAATTTTTTAGGATGTTCCAATCTGATTTCATTTTGAATTTCAAATTAATATTAACTGACCCTGTTTTATGTTCACAGTCGTTGGAATTCTACCTGATTGAATTGGACATTTTGAAACTCTTCTTATTTGAAACTGTATTCATGCTCATGTCTTGTTTTCTTTTCTTCTTGTTCGGGACGAGCAAAGATTTAAGTGTGGGGGAGTTGTTTGTCCCATTTTTGTTACGTTTTTCCATATTGTTTTGTCGTTCTTTTTTCCTCATTTTAGGTATTTTTGTTGGTTTGTAGTTCATTTTGTTGATTATCGCGTGTTCCCCTTTATTTTGGTTCTTTTTGTGTTTTTCGTATATTTTCTTCTTGTTTTTGGTGTGCAGATCAGAAGCCCGTGAAGAAGAAATTTAGCTCGAAAACAGGCCAGGAAATCATGGTTAGATAGATGGGTTCGTTGGCCACAAGTAAGTAAAAGCAGAATTCAATTTCGAGTTCGGGCGTGTCCGGATGGGGCCGATATATGAAGTCGAGCACGGAAGCCATCACCTGCTATTCATAAGCTTTGAGAGAATTGGATTTCAAGAATAATTTGACCATTCAAACATCATTGAATAGAGGGGTTCGATAGCGATGCGTAGGAAAAAACAGAACTTAATTCCGAGTTCGGACGAGCCCAAACGAGCAAGAAACGCAAACTCGCGCTGCCCAGGCCCCTTAGCGGCGCTAAGGCTGGTCTTAGCGGCGTTATCAAATGTTAGCGATGCCAGAGGCTAACAGCTTTCATTCCTTAGCACCGCTAACCCCCCTTAGCGGCGCTAAGGCCCCCTGCAAGTCTCAGAATGATATAAGAACTCCAAAAACTCGTTTTCTTCTTCATTCTTTCACTTCCAGCTTGAAGGGGAGGAACCCTAGGTCCAAAATCGCCTCCCCCCTTCATTTTTCTTCATATTCTTCTTCTCTTATCCTTCTTTTCTCCATTTTCTTCTTCTTTTCTTTCATTCCCCTTCCCTTCTTCTTCTTCTCTTCTCCTCTTCTCCATCTTTCTTTACCATTTTTCTTTCTTTTTTTTTTCTTTTCCATTTTAGGGATTAAGCTTGTATTTTGGATTCAACTTTCGGATTGGATTGATTGTAAGTATTTTTCATCTCGTTTAATTCATGAGAATGATTATTTGGGGTGAAATGCTTTATTGTGTTGA